CCATCTTCCAATTGTTTGCCTGCGAAGATCAAACGTTGCTGATCCGGAGGGATTCCTTCCTTATCTTGAATTTTTTGCTTTACATTATCAATTGTATCGGATGATTCGACTTCCAAGGTAATGGTTTTACCCGTGAGAGTTTTGACGAAGATTTGCATACCACCACGTAATCGAAGTACCAAATGAAGAGTAGATTCTTTTTGGATGTTGTAATCGGAGAGGGTTCGTCCATCTTCCAATTGTTTGCCTGCGAAGATTAATCGTTGCTGATCCGGGGGAATTCCTTCTTTATCTTGAATCTTTTGCTTTACATTGTCAATAGTATCGGATGATTCAACTTCCAAGGTAATGGTTTTACCAGTGAGTGTCTTGACGAAGATTTGCATTCCACCACGTAATCGAAGAACCAAATGGAGGGTGGATTCCTTTTGGATATTGTAGTCGGAAAGCGTGCGTCCATCTTCTAACTGTTTACCAGCGAAAATTAGACGTTGCTGATCCGGTGGAATACCTTCTTTGTCTTGAATTTTTTGTTTAACATTGTCAATGGTATCGCTAGATTCGACCTCGAGGGTGATGGTCTTGCCAGTAAGTGTTTTTACAAAAATCTGCATGTTTTAATACTTGTTAGAGAAAAAATTTATTGAGTGGTTTTATAGACTTTTTTAACTTTTTTAAAGTTTAAAATTTGTTGAAAAGAAAAAAATGGGGGAGAGGTGCTATATTTATAATAATTTTTACATATCGGAGTTAATGTATTAGTAAGCACCCTATCTATCATCAATCGTGTCAATCAATTATTCACAGATAAAGACGTCATTTCATGCCGGAAACTTCTATTCCGCGCAGAGCCCTAATCGAATGATAAGTAGGGGGTCAAATTACATCAAATTTGTGTGACAAGAATAATAATGTGTATATGGCGTTATTTTTTGTTTGCGCAGTAATATAAACAAGAGTTGATTGTTGAAACCAAACAGTTATGGTTAATAATGAGATAGCACGTTGCCAAGAATTGTAATCAGCCATCTTTGTTTGCATCCATCCATCCAATCATTACTGTTCTTTTTTATTCTTTTTATGCGGGCATATCGGAGTCTTTCATTGTGTAGATGCCGCTGATAAAGTTCCAACAATTACAGACTACACATAATAACCGTAATCATTTATGCTTGTGATTATGCTCAATAATTTACCATATGAGTCGCTTTATTCTTTGTAAATCATGAATCAAGAAAGGAAACACGACAATACAAATTTAGCGACCGACATAATTTAGTTCTAGGGGGTGTTTTAAATTCTCTTATTAAATCACAATCCGAAGTAATGGTTAACTTGTATTATCGTTATAAGGTTTTTTCAATGAATTAGATATTGTTCTAAATGGCAAATCAACTGGAACTATATGATTTTAGTGGTTATTGAAAACAATTGATTCCCAAAAGGAAAAGCGTATCTTTCGTCATAACTTTAATTCGTTATTAATTCAAGCTGACTTTGAATAACTGGAAGCTTTGAAGTCTTTCTTCTGAGCGAAACTTTTTAGAAAGAGCTAATTATTAATGTCGCAATCATTATTCTTCCGGATGATATGTTTTACTAGAAAAGTAAAGAAATTGCTAGAATAAAGAAATTACTAAAACAATATATGTAATATTAATTAAATATATTAATATACAGTCAAATCTCTCTATAGTCACATTCTCTTTTATATAAAAAGTTCTTAGTAAAAATCTTTTATTTTATAAGCACACAACTCTTTATAAATAATTTATTTACGCAATTACGATTAGCGTTAAAGAAAAATTTTTCCATCACATCGCGTGAGATTTATTTAGTCTCACTCTCAAAAAATTTTCCCTGTCACGTGCAAAAAGGACTTCCGATCTGTCTTCGACCTGACATCATGGTTAGGGTTACAGTTTCATAATATCATCGGAATCGGTTTTTTGAGTACTCGGATCAAAAGTGACTCGAGGAACATGATCAAGTCCTAAAGGTCACATGAATAGTCAGGTGCTAAATGATATATAATTTGCTTAAACGTATCGGTATTAATATTTCCGTAAAAATCTCATGTGTAATTCTCTCCAAATATCTACATAATTAAATTACTAATAAATTTTTGTTCAAACTGTTCAAAATTGTTCAAGAGCCAATTCTGTATATAATTTTCAGAAATTATTTACGCACACGTTGCGATTTACTTAATAAAAAATCTCATTTCATTAATATGTAGCGAGATAGCAAAGCTTCAAATGTATGTTGAGTCCTAGAACTAAGTTATGTCTATCAAACTCTTCTGCCTAGAGAAAGGGGAGACTCCTACTGCCCAGCGTGCTTTCTCGGTTGATATTGACAAGGAGAAGATGGTTTCTGATCTCAAGGATATCATCAAGGCAAAGAAAACGGTTGACTTTGCCCATGCTGACATTAAAACAGGTTAAAGTTATGGAAGGTAGAAATTCCATTCGATCACGATGACATTATTCAGAATTTACCTTTGCAAGAAAGCGATCAATTACTGGAAATCAATAATATCGGCGACTAATGGGATCAATACACCTTCAAAAATGCATATCCACATAATCAACGATTTTCAGTAAGCATTAAGAATGGCATTTCATTTTTTCTTATTCTTCGTTCTGATATTTCATACTAATACCTCGCTCCCTTAAGTCCCCCGAACTTTCTCTTCTCTCACCGAGAATATTATCGATACAATTAAAGAAATTCAACGAGAACAGATTATCAAATATTTCACCTAAAACTGTAGATTTGATTGGTTTGCCCCTTAAAAATCACATGATGTTGTACAATATCCGATCCCCGATCTAAAATTTATCGGGAATGCTTTTCTAATTCAATAATGTGGAATAAAAAATAAAAACGCAAGAGCAAGATGATAGAGCAGGAAAAAAATATCATATTATTGATTATTTGTAATAATTTTCAAAACAATGCTGCTTGTTCATTATATATCAATATTCAAAATAATTTTTCACGTATTCCCGACATTAGCGCATACGATCTGGCAAAATGCTTTTTCATGTGACTTTACTAATAATGCGGTCAATGTGAGCTTCCGAAAGTAATTTTTTTTCAACAGCACGTTGATCGATTCACATTTGTGTCATTACATAAAAATCGCAATCAATAATTTCTTCGTTCTTCAAATTCCGTTCAGTTCAACAATACACCAATCAGAACCCTTGATTATGCATATGATGAGCATGCTGCACTCTTAATAATCTCAAGTCGCTGTTAAAAAAAGAATACCCACAAAGAATACTTCACGCTCTCTCAATCACGACTTAACCCTCAGCTTTTGAAACCTTTCATACTCAACTTGATACACGCTAAACAGATTATAGTCGTAGAGAACCTCCGATTTCAGCCAAGTCTTTATATTTGGCAGCACCGGACTCTTTTTGTCAGTTGCTTTCGGTAAATCAGTGTCTTTTTGAATTAACTGAACTGAAAGGTAGGTCATTTAATTAGACAACTAGATAGTATTCGAACTTTATATAAGAAAGGAAGCTCTCGAATTTTTTAGAAAATATTTTGAACTTGATTGAGCGTTAATTATTTAATATCATCATAACGTACCATCGATAAACATTTACTTAATCTTTAAATCCTTTATAATTATAAATATTCATCTTAATTATAATTCTATCATAATGTCTTGCAGTCCTGAATCTTCACCAATTCTTGAACAACATTGGCTTGATTTCCTGCCAGATATTAACGCATACATTCAATCTCAGAATCATTTTATTTATAATACCTCTCATTCCAAACATTTACTACAACATAAACAACAGAAAATGGCGTCCATTCCATTCCCATGTCTAAAGCCGACAAAAGAAGCCGAACCAAAAGAGATCAGACCAGACCTCAATGTTCGCCTAATATGTCCAGACTGTAGAAATCCCGTTCCAAATATCATAGAGGAATTCGCGAATGGTGATCTTGTGTGTGGTGACTGTGGTCTGGTGTTAGGTGACCGAATTATCGATACTCGTTCTGAATGGCGTACCTTTGCCAATGATGAGGGTGATGACCCATCGCGTGTTGGTGCTGCCGCTAATCCGCTACTTGATGGTGCTCAATTGGACACAGTCATTTCGCGAAAAGACGGTGGCTCAGGAACAGCCCGTGATTTAAATAAAGTTCATGGTCGTGCCACCGCAGTTAAGGGTGAAAAGAACTTGATTCAAGCGTATAAGGAGATAGCAGCCATGTGCGATGCAATCGGGCTAACAAAATTGATTGCCGATATTGCAAAGCAATTGTATAAACGTGCTGAGGAGGAAAAATTACTTCGAGGTAAAAGCACAGAGTCAATTATAGCCGCATGCATCTTTATCGCATGTCGCCAGGAAAACGTGCCACGCACCTTCAAAGAAATCTGTGCCATTACCCGCGTACCGAAAAAAGAAATCGGTCGTTGCTTTAAAACATTAATTCGCACCTTCGAAACAAATGTTGCCACCATGACCTCGGAAGACTTGATGTCTCGATTCTGTTCGATGTTGCGTCTTCCCATACAAGTGCAAAAGGCCGCGGTGGAATTGACGAAAAAGGTAAAAGAATGTGGCACACTTGCTGGCAAGTCGCCGGTGTCGGTTGCCGCCGCATGTATATA